AAATTGTAGCCAGATGAGTTAGCTTTCGAACTCATTTTGAATTGCCTCAATCGGATATCAGAATACAAAGTTATAATAAAAACACTGAAAGAAGGTGCAGCTGCCTGTTTAAAACAAGAAATCTCGTTATATAGTCCGTTAAAACAACAAATTCTGTTAGTTTTTCCGTTAAAACAAGAAATTTCGTTACATAACCACTCTTAAATTTTAATGTATAGAAGATATTATTCAAAACATCATTTTTTTCTCAATGACGGCCACCAAAGGGGCTAAATATGCATCTATTTGGTATAGATTAAAATCAGATTTTTAGTAAATATTGATAAAAGTTGATACATTCCGTCTTAGATAAATCAAAATTGACTAACGAGTCTTGCTCAAATATTTGGTGAAAGGTGATTACTAATTTCTAATCGACTTAAATAAACTAATTTCTCCCAAACAAAACATTCTAAAAATGTACTTCGTGTTTTAGTTCTCAAAAGATGCACTTTAATACTAATTTTTGAATTTTAAATCGTGCTAAAAAGGTCAAGTAATTATTATTCACTGAACAAAATTGAAGATAAATAATTTATTTAGCTTCCGTTTGTTTCTTATTTTTCATCTATAAAAATGAAAAATATGATTGTTATCTATCACATCAAGTCATCAATTTTAAATTTCTATATCTCGCGCGGGGTCTAATAACGATTATATTTTTCATTCTCATTCTACAATAATGAGAATCAAACGGACCCTTAATAGTAAATTAAAATATAGGATAAATAATTTATTTAATAGTAGTTTCAAAAGTGAGTTATAAATCTCAACTTATCTTGTATGTTTGAGCCACATTATTTTGAAATAATGTATTTTGGAATAGTAGATTGATGGAAAATGTGTGGATGAAAAAGAAGGAAAAGTTATTGATGTGATGGAAAATATTATTTTATTGAAAAACGTGTGGTTAAAAATGAGTAGAAGAATGAGAATAAAAAAAATAATGTGAGTCAAACAGGGGCTAATATGCAATATGAGTTTTCAAGCGATCAAAATCGTCAATGTAGGATTATAATTTTACTCGACTTAAAGTTAGATACAAAACCATCAAGACAATACAATAAAAAATTACGTACTATTTTTTTACTTCTAAGTTGGTGTTTCGTTTACGTGTAGACCACATAAATTTAAATAGATTTTAAAGTTGAAATCAATAATCATACCATGTGAAATGTTGGAGAGCCCAACTCTGAAATTTTCTCGAAAGAAATTGAAAATTGGTTGAGTTAAGCCATTTGTCCGGACTCAACAATCGAGACAAATGACAGGGCGTCGAGGTGGCACTGTATTTGGGCCCGATCATTGAGTTGGGCCCTATAGCAGATCTCAAATTGGTTTTCTTTAACTTCGATTTTTTTTTTTTTTCAGTTAAAAAGTCAGTCCCCCCTCCAATTATAGGGCACCACCACGGCGCCTGCATTTGGGCCCGGTCATTGAGTCTGGCCCTATAGTAGATCTCAAATTGGTTTTCTTTTAACTTTCGATTTTTTTTTTTTTTTTTTCAGTTAAGAAATTATTTTTAAATAAACTATTTTTATGTTATCCCTAGTTACATTTAGCGACGCATTTTGAGTCTGGTCATCGGTTGAAATGTCAATTTTATTCCTCCCTCATTTCCCTCGCATTTGCCGTCTCATCTGCAAATTAGATACAAACAAAGGTACACGCCCGCACTGCGTGTGTGAGGCAGACCGAGAAAGTGCGTGAAAATGGCGAAAGAAGAAGCAAAGAGAAGAGAGAAGAAGAATATAATAGCTCTCACAGGCGCCGCAGCTCTTCTCGTTGTAGCAGTCAACTTTGCCATCTCTACTATCCATACGCACCACAAAAACCGCAAGAAAAAAGGTGTTTTTAGATTATTTTCTCTTGCTATGGTAAATGAGGAGAACCCAGTTGAATTTTTTTTTTTCCGTTTTCGTGAATTTTGTTAATGAAATGAATTGCTTTGCATTTTGATGTAAAAAGGGGGAATTTTGTTGACACAAACGAATGTGTGTATTTTTGAGAGTAAGCTGCCCGGACACCCACGGTTATGAAAAAAAAAAAAAAGTAAACGATGAGAGCCAGTTGATTGTAAGTTCTCGTGAATTTCGTTGGTGAAAAATGATTGTTTCTATATTTCATGTAAAAAGGGGGGATTTTGGGGATACAGATATGCGTATGTGTTTTGCATGTAAAGTATATTTATTATGTTATCATTTTTTTTTTCATTTGTAATGAAGCCCAATTTACGTTTAACAGTTACATTAAAATTTTGTTTTGTGATTTTTATTTTTATATTTGAAATAATTTCAGAAGTTCTGGGATCAAATGTTCAGATAAATTTATCTGCATCGGAAATATTGAAGTTAGCAGACCGTATTATTGCAAAATCGAAGCAAGTTCAGGATGCAGTGGCTTCAGTTCCTCTTGATAAGGTATTATTTATTTTTGTTTCAGAAATACTAAATTTGATTAAATGAATATAGTATATTAATTATTATGTTTTTATAGTTGTCTTGTATTGTTAGTATTTCGTGATTCACAATATTCTATTGATTGCCCCGAGAAGGATGTATTTGGCAGCTTCGCCTTGGGGACTCAGAATTGGGACTCAGCATTAGTGTTTTCGCCATCCCGCTTCTATACCTCCAATTCTGTGCCTAAATATTATTTCTTTATTGTTCATGATAGTTCATTTTGATTCAGTAAAAGCAAAGAAGAGAATAAAAGTTCGCAGTGGTGAAAATTATCTGTTTCGTTTCTTCTCTGTATTATGCATTTTCAATAGTTTGTATCCTCATTCCTGAGTCCTGAAACAACTGAGCTGTTAATGGCTCATCATTCTTTCACGTGACAAGAAAAATTCTCTCTCATATGCAGATATAGCTGATCAAACTCAACAATTTTTTTAACAACAGCTTTCTGATGCTTTCATGCACTCTCTACCTTTGCCTACCCAATGACTTTGGCCATTATCACTGCTTCAGATCTAAGAACACAAACACAATAAACACATATCGAGAAACTATATTGTAAGACTTAGTGAGAGTTTACGTCTTTGCACAAAAAAATGGCACCTGAGCAAAAATTCTAGTCACTTCAATACGCCCCTTATGTTGTCGAAAGGTTTAGTTAGTCTAATCTTGGCTATATAATTCTGACTTGATTATGCCCTGCAGGTCACTTATGCTAATGCTATACTACCACTGGCAGAATTAGAAGCACAACAATTTCCACTGATACAATCTTGTGTCTTCCCAAAATTGGTATCCGTATCTGAGGATGTGCGCAAAGCAAGTGCTGAAGCCGAGCGACGAATAGATGCTCATATTTCCACATGCAGGTTTTACTTCTGAACTTCTCTATTTTTATTCCTCAGGGACTCCTTGCAGTGAAATGCTAATGATGGTCAGGGATTTCTATAGCTAACTAACTTCAAGTATTTTTTACCACGAAGCACAAGAAAAGTTAATGAATGTAATTGGCTCATGTGAGAAATTTGATCAATGTCAAACTGATGCTATGCCTGGATCTTGATGATTTCTTAAGTGAGAAGCAGAATTCTCTCTATAATTGTGTAATAGATTAGCTGCAGAAGTGTCTGGGAAGATCAATTACAATTATTTTCTAATGTTAAAGAAATAAGTGGTGTCTGTGGCAGTATATCACCTAATGGAAATTGTGATTGAGATTTATTTTATTGGACCATGTGAATGCTGAATTGTTGATTCATGAGATTTAATTACAAAGGTTTAGTAGGATTCTAATTTCTTCTTCTTCTTCTTCCATGACAACCATACAGTAAGCGTGAAGATATTTACCGTGTCATAAAAGCTTTTAAAGCACGGGGAGACTGGATGAGCTCTGAAGTGAAACAGTTTACTCAGCATCTGGTATGAATCTTCAAGATTATTCTCTAGGGACCTGACATGCCTTTCTGGAATAATTTGTTCAATACTCTTGTTCATCTGATGATTATGTTCTGATGGACACCTGATGCTGTATCAGTCCACATGTTCAGAATTTCTTATGAGGCATATAGCATGGTTCTTAAGTGAATTATTTAAAACAAAGAGAACATTAATCAATACATTTAGGTAACAGAAGCTTGAATCTATCCTTTTAACCTGAGAAATTATACAACGAGCTACTATCTGACTGTTATAAAGAGATGGAGCCATTCTTTAACTTCCAAATTGGTTGTTACGGGTTTTTGATTGAAAAAAAAATTGGCAAGCATACTTGCTGTTTGGCTTTGTCTATTGCTTCTTTTTTTGGTTTCATTGATAGTCTATACATTTCTTTTTTTGTTTTTCGCTGTACACGATGCTAGATCACAGAAACTCTTTTTCCACAGGCTATCCATGGATTTGTTACCATAACAAAGGAAAAAAAAATAGACAAATAAAAAATTCCGTTGTACTATTGTTTGTTGTATGCTTCAACCAATGCTTATGTATGCTTTGCCTTTCCAAATCCTCACATATACACAAAATAAAAAAGAGTTAGGTATGCAGACAAGCTGAGTTGCACGTGTTTGCTAAACATTGAAAACGTTTCCCCCCTTATTCTTGCTTTCCTTACCGTATATAAAAGTGTTTCTGGTTTGAACAAGAAACTGCTTTATTTGTCCAAAATTTTATTTTTGCTAATATTTAGTGACAGATTAGAGAATTTGAACGGAATGGAGTGAATCTTACGTTGACCAAAAGAGAGGAATTGCAGCGGTTGAGGACTCAGATAGATGAGCTAAGTTTAAAATACATCCGAAATCTGGATGGTGACAAGTCATTTCTTCTTTTCAGTGAGATGGAGCTAGTTGGTTTGCCGTCTGAGTTCCTGAAGGTGATACTATTTTTATCTATCCTGTTATTTTGGACTTATATTTGAATATTAATTTTCAAGTTTTAGATCAGAACTTCGATTCTTCCTCTTGTCCTTCATGATTAGGTCACTGTTCCTAGACCAGCAAGTGTCCATGATATAAAAGAAGGTCAAGGAACACATCCTTAAATTTATACAAAATTAGTTTGTAAGTAATAGCGTCTCTGTAGATTCTTTAAATGTTCTATTAGTCTCAAAATTAGGTCCATTAATATGGAAGAAGGGGCTAAATATCTTGAATGAACAATATGTAGATGGCATTAACTTGTCTCCTGGTTATAACTTTCTCCCAGATAACTCAATGGCTACACCTCAGTAGAAATATCTTGAACAAACAATTTACAGGTGGCATTGACGCGTTTACTGGTTATTACGGTCTATTCCGATTACTCATGATAATATCTCATTGATGTTTCTTTGCAGAGCCTGGACAAAGCTGAAAACGGTAAATTTAAGATTGCACTGAGAAGTAATCACGTTTCACCAGTTCTAGAGCTATGTAAGGTAATGTCAATGAGAAATCTAGCATACCTACTCTCTTTTCCCTGTCATCCATTCAGCTACCTTTTCCCACTCAAGATTGTATTGTTATGTATCTCTGAAAATACTCATACCACTGGGAATGGAAGAATCCATCAGAATGTAGACAAAGATTTGAAAATCCTACAGAGATTCAAAAAGTTTGAATACTTTAGCATTTAGGTAAAGGAAAAAAATCATTAAATATTCTAAGTTAGTGTTTTGTAAAACCTTAATTTGGTTTTAGTGGGAACTAGTCTGATCAACTTTTCTCTTAGTTTGGCAGCTTGCAGATACTGGTGTTGTACATATTTTTTGGGGACCACTTTTGGCCTAAACTAGATTTACTTCCAAAAAAATTTAGTTTTCTTTTGATCATAAATGAGGTTTATGAGCTCTTTGAAGATATTAAATGCCTAAATATATTTTTCTTTCCCTTCTCAATAAGCAGACATCTTTTGATTCAATGAGCAAGTATCTTCTAATTTCAACTACATTTTGAGTCAACTAAGCTAAAAACTGGAAAATCTTGTTATACGCAAACCATAGAAAGATTCAATGAAGTTGGTTTAGACTGCATATAAACTGATCTAGTTTTTGAAGTTCTCATACAGAGCTGGACATCTTAATAGACATAGATTCCAAATTGCAATGCAACTATATATACTTCACAATTTCTTTCCACTTTGAAGGTAGGATCATCCAGGAAGGCTGTGGCTGTGGCTTATGGGCGGAGATGTGAGGTTAATCTTTCCGTGTTAGAAAAGCTGGTAATGTGTAAAATATTCATCTTTTGCATTTCATGTAATAAAGGAAAACGTATGATATATCATCAAAGTTTAAAAAGGTGTACTCGGGGTACTGAAGCATTTTTCCTCATGAGGCGAGGTGTAAGCCTCACTGTAAACCAAATAAAAAACCTACTATAATGCAAAATAAGCTTTGTAATAAATCATAAATAATCTTCAAAATTCATAATAATATAATTTAAAGTGTGCAAACAAGCAAGAGAAGAATCTGTAAAGTAACAAACAACTATATTTTAGTTGGTGGAGCAGTAGACTACTCCCAATTCCCAAAGTACACAATTTTTTAATGTTTTAGTGGATTGTGGGCTATTCTTTGAATGTGTTCATTAGAAGTTTTATGTTTTGTTGGCCCACACCTAAGGCAAAGTAAATAAGTCTACATAATTAAGAGTGCACGCCTCCCAAGCGGGCCTCAATTGGGTTTACTTAAACATGTATATTATTTCTATTGTTTCCTAGTCTCAGGAGAAAAAAAAAATTCATCTATATTGGGTTGATGATAGAATGAGCCTGGGAAGTATTCTTCTACATTATAGACCTAAGGATCTTTTGTTAGCGGCAAAGAACCAGGCATTGTTAGGGCTTGCTTTGAATCTGAAATAGTTGGAAAACTTATGGGCTATGATATACATTGTACAATAAGGGTTTGTTAGATTGTAATAAGTAAAACCAGCAGCTCTCTGGGCTGTTTAGAGTCCAATATCATAAGTCGTAACAGGTATAAACACTACAGATCTAGCCTTCTAACCTCTTCAGGGATTTTCCTATCACATAGAAGTTTGAATCCTGCTATATTCCTATGCGTTACATCCTCCTCAGTTTCTCTTATGTTAAAATTGAAGTTAAGTACTTAATAATTTCATTCTTTGTGACAACTTTTGATGTAGCAAAAACTTATAGGAGAGAACAGAATCTCACGTGAAAACTCGAACTCTTCTATTCTCATGAATTCAAAGAAACAGAAAAAAATTGAGAAACTTTTTGATAGGTTCCACCCTAGGTCAATGGTAAATTCTACCTGTGATTAATGAAAAACACAAGATAGAAACTAGATTTATGATATGTATTGATTGAAAAATGAATTACAGAAAATAGAACAGGAATACAATCAGCCTTTCGAGGGGGTTGTACTCTCCACAATATGGTTTTCACTCACTATCTTGCATGCCTATTTTCCTCCCATCTCTTCCCTATTTATAAGCTACTTGTAACTAATTTTTCCTCCCCATTCTACCACTCTAACAGAGTTTGTTGCATCCCCAATCTTCTCCAATCTTCTCGATCCTTCTAGAATATGTTTATTTAATTGGGGCCTATCAATTACCCCTCCCATTTCAGTCACCTTGTCCTCAAGGTGGAAAGTATACTTGATTGTTGCTGCCCCAGCAACTCAAACCTAACTCTTTCAGCTCCTCCTTGCCTGAACCCAGTTCTTCCAGCTCTCTACAACTGGTCGTGACTTCTTTGTCCATTGCTAACTCTCTAATTACTAGAACTTGCACCTTCTTATTTTCACACTTGTGCCCAATTGTAAATTTCTCATCACAATGATAGCATAAGCCTTTTTCTCTTTTTGCCTAAATCTCTGCATCTGTGAGTTGTTTGTAGGGGGTGGGATATTTGGTAAAATGGTTTTGCCGAGTTGGGAGAAGATTTAGGGGTTCTGTTTGTTTGTTAACTGGGCTGGGAAGTTGGGTTAGATTTGGGTTGAGAGAAGGGGGTGGATTTGGGTTGTGAAAGGGGATACTCTTGGGTTTAATTGGGTCATTTTGCCATGGGCCCTTTTGCTGGGTTATCAAATTTCGGTCCTCCACCATTTGGGCTACTTCCATTATTTGTTCCTGGCCCAATGGCCTTAGTAGATGGACCTCAGTCCTTTGAGATAATTACATTCCAGTATCTCTTCTGATACCTCCATCAACGGTGACGCCAGGGTCTCAAATCACCGACAATACTCTCTAACGGGGTATTCTGCCGGAGAGATAAGAATTGTGCGTAAAGGGATCCCTCCTGTGATGGTCTGAATCTTCACAACAGCCAGATTTTCACCTCTTCCCAATTCTTCATTGGTCGGCGTTTTTCCTCCCATTTGAATCAAGCCAGCGCTTCTCAGTCGAAACACACGGCTGCGGCTTCCATCTTCTCTTCCTCCCGTCAACTTATTAATGTGGAATTACCTCTCCACATGAAAGACCCACTCGTCTGGATCGGATCCTTCAAACACGGGCATTTCCAGCCTTCTTATGCGTGGCTCGATTCTCCAATCGCTTCCTGACCCTCCTCCATCGTTGTGACTACTGCTTGCCCTTGTTTGTGTTAAACTGGTGTCAATTGGTGTTACTGATGAACTCTCCATAACTGGACCCTTCTCCTTACGGTCTTTTTCTTCCCAGGTGCGCAACAACGGTTCAAACTTTTCCATCATCCCTGAGTGCATCATTTTAAATTTTGAACATAGCACTCCGAGCCCTGTTTGAAGTTCATTGTTATTTATTTCCATCTTTTGTTATAACTCCCCAACTTGATCAGCAAGAGTCATGGCTGTGTCTTGTTGAATTTGGATGATGGGTTCCACCCCAGGTTAATGGTAAATTCTACCCGTGATTAATGAAAAACACAAGACTGAAACATGATTTATGATATGTATTGATTGAAACTGAATTACAGAAAATAGAACAGAAATACAATCAGCTTTTCGAGAGGACTGTACTCTTCACAATATGGTTTTCACTCACTATCTTGCATGCCTATTCTCCTCCATCTCTTCCCTATTTATAAGCTACTTATAACTGATTTTCCCTCCCCATTCTACCCCTCTAACATAGTTTGTTGCACCGGTCTTCTCCAATCTTCTTGATCCTTCTAGAATAAGTTTATTTAATTGGGGCCTATCACTTTTCAAACTCTTTATTATAATCAATTCAACTAAGTGTCATTAAGGCTTACAACTCATATTTAAAGTAATATTTAAAATCTGTATAACTAAACACTAAATAATGACTAACTCTAAATAATGACTAAAATTAAAGATAATGACGAAAATAAATGTCCTAATATTTAAAAGTAATCTGCAAATTATTCAGAAAAATGAAAAATGTGATTACGAAGCTCTAATCAATGAAATTTGACCGAAATGGGCCGTATATCGGGGGTAGGCCTTGAGTTTTGCTCATCGGGTCGTTTCAATTCAAAATATACATAAATTCGTTGGTCCCACTTCTCCATGAAACCTTCTTCTTTCTATATTGCATCAACTTTCCTCTATAGCAACTTTATTATAATCATTATTTCCACTATTACTGTTCGTGCAAAACCCGCAAGTGCACGAAATCGTTGACAAGTAATAGATTTAGTGAGTTGAGAATAACGTCCCACATGAATAAATTTAATTCAAGTTTACTAGTTTCATATGAAATTCGAATTATGCAACACAATTACACTAAAGAGATTTTGATTTTGTAATTATTCTAAATTAATTTAAGAAAGCGATAAAATTAGGGTTTTTATCAAATTATGGATGATTGTATTGGATTTCGAAACTTTTATTACATCTATTTCAATTCTTGATTTGTAATCTAGTTTCGTTCATGCGTTCTCGACAATTGATAAAGTTATGATATATAATTTTCTTTTCTCAGACAAATTAAATCTTTCCTAACCACGACCCGAATCTATTCCTAGCCCGAATTCGAATTATTAGAATGCATTAAAGTTTAGATTATCTATATAATTGCACACGCAATAAATGTTATTCATAAACTCTATTGCACATATGTTAATTTTGCCGCATTCTAAACTTATTGTGAGTCCCAACACTACGAAGCAACTAGTTATCCAATTGGTGGTCGATCAATTAAATAATGCAATGAGTATGCAAAATTAATCAAGAAACACATGAAATAAACTACAATTCCTTGCTAGGGTTTGATCCCCTCTCTAAAAAATATAGCAATTGTCCAATTGTTCTTGATGAATTTGATTATATTATTGTGCATGAAGAGGCGAGAGAGGGTTCTAAGAGTTTGAATCGTGAAAGAAAACTGTATTTCTGTTTTGCGTGCATGCTAAAAATGGTTCGCGGAGTTCGTCCATGAGCAACTTTCGGTATTTTGATCATAACCTTTTTTCCCGATATTCAATTGAGGTGATTCAAAGTGTGTTGGAAGATGACTCAAAGGGCTACAATTCTTCTTGAAATACAATTTTTCCAAATCGAACATTTTCTATCCAAAAAATGGGTATCAAGTTGAGGCTAAAAATTCGGAGCATATCTTCTTCAGCTGTAAATTGATTTGTGAAAATATTTAACTATATTTAACTCATTTAACCTCCAATTGCATCCAATTGATCCTATATGATGTTCAATAATCATTTTAGGGTCCGAATGAATCATTGAATGTTTACACTTTGGTCCCCAAATTTTGGACTTCTTTCGTTTTTGCCCATTTTTCGTTCCTCTCTTCTAATTCCACAAATTTGCATTGAGTTCAACCTAACAACGTGATTCATACATAATTAAGCTATAACATATCCAAATCACTAATAAATACTCCAATTTAATGGCTTAAATAAGTGTTCAAAATATGCTTAATAATTACTATAGTAACATCACATGTACTTTGTTGGCTCTATTTAACCTAGATCCTTAGATAGCAAAGACTTCTTCGATTTCTAACCTATTAACTCCTTGAGTCTTTTAAACTAAAAGTATATCATTAGCTAATAACATAATCCTAATAACCATGACATGTAATAATTTGTTTTAATTCAAGGAGAAAACAAATGAAGAAAGAAACGTTAAAGGAAAGAAGCTGCCTGGTTTCTTCTAGTATGTTAATTTTTGTATACCTGTTTGTGGATGATATAGATGATTATTTAGATAATAATGGATTGAGGGAATTCAAGTAACATCGTACAATAATCAAAAGCTTTTAGGCTCTCCAAACACAGAAGAAATTCTAAATAGAACATCCCTACAGCTGTATCGTAAAAGAAACCTTAATCTCATCTTAACAGCCTGATTGATTCTCATTAATGGGGGGGAAAAAAAGAGTTTTGAATAGTATTTTTAGGAGAATATCTGGTTAAAAAGTAGGGAAAAATTTTTAGTATGCATGTAGAATATTTTATTGTGTGAATGTGTGGTTGAAAATGATCCTGTAGCAAACCATAAAATAAATTAATGGGTGTCAAACAAACACTAATTCTCATAATCCTGACTCCTAACCCAGATTTCAGAAATTTTATTATTCAATCACTTTCTTCTAATGAAATCCTGCACCATCCTTAACTGGCTCTATAAATGTTGGAAACTAGACAAAGTGTCATAACAATTTGTTTTCAATTCTTTTAATCTAAGATGAAATATCTAACTTTATTTAGAACTGTACCGTGCTTTCATATGAGATCTTAGCAACCAGTCTATTACCGACAATTATGTACTGAGTTCAGAATCAACTAGTGTCTTATGAGCGTCATATTTTCTCTTGTACTTTCAGATTCAATTGCGGCATAAACTTGCCAGGTTGCTTGGCCATGCCAATTATGCAGACTATGCCATCGATCACAGAATGGCTAACTCATCAGCAAAGGTTTGTGCAAGTTTATATAATTTCCTAAACTGATGTATCATACTGCCTGGTGTGGTGAGAAAGTATTATTACCTCCCCCCCTCACTTATATTTGCAACTGTATTTGGTTAATCTTTCCAATTTTCCATTTTGATGAAGCCGGTAATGATTAATTTGTGAACATGAAACCTAAATAGCTAGCTCTTGTAATGAGTTTTATCGGTCATGCACCCAGGTCCCAATTAGCGATCAAGGATACTATCCGAATAGTTACGAATTCTAAGTAATTTCTATTGCATGTTTTGTCATGCTTCCGCACCATGCCTTCTATTATCTAACATTTCTTTTACAAATTGGCTAAATAGTGATGAGGTTGCTTCATGCTTGTATCCACTTTAGGTGTTTGAGTTCTTAGAGAACATTTCTGGCAGCTTAACTGAGTTGGCCTCTAGGGAACTTTCTCTGTTGAAAGAAATGAAGGTTTGTCCTGTTTCATCTATGTTTGGTTTGCCATGAATTCGATGCATTAGAGAGCCTGGTCCTTTTCTTCTTACCTTGATTACTTTTCTTTGGACAATTCGTCATGCTGGTGATTCAGAAGAAAGAGGAGGGAGAATTTTCCTTTGGAATTGAAGATCTACCATACTATGTGAAGAAGGCCAAAGATCAACATTTTGATCTGGACTTTGGAATTGTTAAACAGTACTTCCCCATCAATTTAGCGTTGTCAGGGATCTTCAAAATATGCCAAGATCTTTTTGGTAATTTTGTTCATGTATTTTGATGGAAACATGATTTTGACCCATTTTGCTTGTACATTATAGTTTGTTTTCTTTGCTTATTACAGGCTTAAGATTTGAGGAGGTTACGGATGCATATGTTTGGCATCAGGATGTGCAGCTAATTTCTATCTTTGACTTGAGTTCTAGTGAACTCATAGGTTACTTTTATCTTGACATATATGCCAGGTTCATTCTTCGATTTTTATTTACCTTTAGTCGATCATTGTTGAAGCAGATATTAGCTTACTGAAAATTATTGCGTCTTAAGCAGGGAAGGAAAATATGGGCACACTTGTGTTGTGGCTCTTCAAAATGGTTCATTGATACAAAATGCTAGACAGGTGACAATATTCAGTATTCATGTCATTAGTGCAGTTCCAAGCTTGTCAAGCTCATACATTTCACGTCGTTGCATTAAAATTTCTGAAATGCCAACAATTTGCATGATGAGTGCTGGTTTGTTATTTCTGTTGTTTTCCTACTGAGAACTCTTACCTTAGCTTCTTCTTGAGACTCAATTTGCCTGGATTGATGGTCTGCATTTACTGATNGGTTCTACATCTTTAATTTTCTGCATGTGGTTAAATGGCAAGATTAATAAATTTCTGATGTTGCATATGCTCACTGTATTGCAGATTCCAGTAGCATTACTCAATTCACATTTGCAAAAAGAAGTTGATGGTCGTCCTGGGTTGTTGCGATTCTCTGAGCTTGTTAATTTATTTCATGAGTTTTGTCATGTGGTATGTGAGAGCTTCTGCAGAATCATGACCTTATATGATTCATAAATAGTTTTAGTTCCATCTCATCATACTACTGCAATTCTACCAGTGTGTTGCGTTTTGATTTTTTTTATTACGATCCTTTTCTCATAATTGATTATGCTACTACTATTCAGTTTTGACTTGTGCTTCTCTATGCGTCGCAAGTGAAAAACCAGCTAAGGCTTGATCTAGAAGCTTCAGGCATTAGAGTTCTATAATGATTTCTCTGTTTAATGTATGTCTATGCTTATTTTTCACTTTCATTATTCTGATGGTTGTAGATCCACCATATTTGCAATCGTGCACCCTTTGCTAGATTTTCTGGGTTGCGTCTGGATCCTGACTTTGTGGAGATCCCCTCGCTGGTGTTGGAAAACTGGTATGTATTCAAATATGTATATTTAAATAGACATGTTTAATGGACATGCATAAAGATTACTCATTCTAACTTCTATAAATATTTTGCTAGGTGTTATGAAAGCCGCTCCTTAAAACTGATATCTGGTTTCCACGAGGTAATTCCAATGTCATCCCCCCCCCCAACACACACCAAGATTTTTACCGAAGTGATGAAAAGTTACATTCCACTGGAGAGCTATTATATCCTTGAGAGCACATTATAATATTCATGAGAGGCTTGAGACGTGTCTCACTCCCACTACATGTTACCCTCTTACAATGATGGTTGCATGCTTGCAATTGAAACCATTCTTTGGGACCTTGGGATTCCTCTATATTTTATCATTAAGTTATGCTCACCTTATCTGGCATTTTATCGAGCAGATTATAGTAGACATTTTGCTGGGTGATCTTTTTGGTTTTACCTGAGCCAACTTATGGTTTATAGGATATCACAAAGCCCATTGAGGACGAAATATGCAGATCACTTAAGAGATGGCGGTTTTCCTTCTCAGCATTGAAACTGAAACAGGAAATTCTTTATTGTAAGTTCAAATTTGTGTTTGCTTCAAAATCAACCATTTCTCCTTTCACTTTAATGCTACAATTTGCAGACAATTGTGAGTGATTTTTAATTTATTACAGTTGACAATTTTGTGGGTTCTTAAGAATTACAGTTTGGTGCTCTTTTTGATACTTGGGATGCATTTACTTTCAGGTCTCTTTGATCAAATCATACATTCCACTGAAAATGTAGACATTAATGGGTTGTTCAAGCATCTCCATCCGAAGGTATTTGTTGCTAATGATCCTCGGAACAAAGTAAGCTAATGCTTAATATGCTCACCTCACTTTTGGAATGCACAGATTATGTTAGGGTTGCCAATCTTGGAAGGTACAAATCCAGCATCGTGTTTTCCTCGTACTGCTATTGGCTACCAAGCTACTTGCTACAGTCGGATCTGGAGTGAGGTTCGTTTAACCTTTTACTGTCTTTTTTGATTGTAGAATGGGGATTTGCACTCTTTCTATTGTACGAACTCAATACATTTTTTGATACTTTTCTAGGTTTTTGCGGCTGATATATTTTCCACAAAGTTTAGCCACGACATCTTCAACCAGCATACGGGCATGCATTTCAGGAACAAGGTAATCAACTCCGACTCCGCTTCTGTTCAAAAAAATCATTGTCTTCAATGCATGTCCATGTAATACTTATTTGGTACAGTTGACAGGATTAAATAAGAAAAGAAAGCTAAAATCTTATTCATAGTATTGTCTAGTCCCGTTCAGTATTGTTTGTTGAGCCACTTGATTTAAAAGCTTAAATTATTACAGTGGACCACATGTATATCATTTAAATTGTGCCTTCAAAATGCCCCCTCACATTAGGCGGGTTTCATTTTTTCCATCAAAGCCTAACACGTGCATAATTTCATCAAGCTTTAAATAGTTTTCAACATTGCTTACCAAACACTTGATAGAGTTTTATTCTACTATAAGTTTGATATTATTGAGCCGTGTTTCAATACTTAATGTTTTATAGCGGACTTCAAATTACTGGGGATAATGTTTAGTTTGTTGTTGTACATCTCATCTTTATAGAGATCTACATTTGTCATTCAATATATGCCTTTCTAAACCGTGTAATGCGACAGGTATTGGCTCCGGGTGGAGCAAAAGATCCTCTTGAAATACTATCCGATTTTCTTGGACGGGAGCCATCAATACAAGCATTTGTAGACAGCAGAGCAGATTCAATCTAGTGCTTTGCTTCACTATATAGCAGGATGTTTCTTTTTGTTCTCAGTGAGTCCTGCAATTTTGGTTGTCTGGGAAAATTCTTAATATATAAGTTTACTCCAAACATAAAATTACATGTATCTGACAATAAACTTGAGCTCAATGTACCATACTCGTACTATGTTGGAATATTTATCGATTTCAGATCAAAGAATAAAACCAGGCTTGAAAGTGTGTTGCATCATTTTCCTTTAGTAGTGTTATTCGTCCTCACCACAGTTCTTTTAAAACAAAAAATGACACACAGCTTTTATTATTATTTTACTCGACAGAATTGAAATAGGTGCTGCAAGTCGATTCTTAACTTTTCACTAGTCGAGTTAAACAAGAAAAAGTTTGTACATATCCTAGAAATTTCACTGAAAACCAAGTTTAGAAATAAACTTTTACAAGAAAACTGCGCTCTTGACATTTTGATGTTTAAGGAATTTCGCCACGAAGAATTTCTACCTGCCAACTTAAACCTCAAATCCAAGAATGCATAAACTTTGAAATTACACGAAACATGTCCTAATACCGTTACATTAACTTGTATTCAAAAATTGTCGTATCGCACAGTCTGCTTCTGTGGAGAATCTTCAGACGGCAAGCTTTCGGAGTTATTCACCAATACTTGCCATCCTCCGGGACACATAAAACCAGCAGGAGGATTTTCACCATTTCTGGCTTAAGTCTGCATCTGCAAAGTACGCACGAAGAATTACATGAAACGATCTGGATATTAGGTGCATGATGTCATTGGGTACATGTATCTTCCAAGACAGATACAATAAAAACAAGCTAAGCATTATTCCCAATAATCTTAGGTTTAACTACACTAATCTTTTTTACTGACAATCTCTCTCTCTCGTACGCCAAAATAATTTACCGACATATCATGATTTACAAACGAACACAGACGTATAACATTCTTTCGAAATTTCTTTACCATAAGACGAGCAAAGGCTAAGCATGGAGTCAAATTTGTACACTTTCCTTGGTCGCTGTTATGAAGAGAGAATCTTTAGCTCGTGAAGGGTAAAAAAATGCCATCTTTTTTTCTCCAGTGTCATATGCAGCTACCTGCATTATTGTGTTAATGAGAAGATGCAGAGATCTCGTTATAATCCCAAGGAATAAATATCATATAAAGCTTTATGTCAAAATAGTAAAAAGTCAATTGTCAGCACCTAGGAATCGGTTATTGAAGAAGTAAATAGAAACTAGATGCTAAGAAATTTAGGACACGAGATAAGCAGATAGACTTCGTCTTTTAAGCACAATAAGTCACTCAATTCACACAATTCAGTATTTACAAGAGCTGAAGACTCATAATTGATATGTTTGGTATGCCACACTAGACTGCAATGGACATGATCAAACAAGAAAATAAGGTAAAAATTTGTTTAGTACAGTATAACAGTATAACAATGTAATATTAATGCTTGATCATATGAATAAAAATTGATTTCCTCTTGGCCTCAATTCTTCTCTTCTTGGACCCCTTTCTTTTCTTGTTCATTAACAAATTAGTACGCTCCTGCATCAAACAATGTCGAGCAGTAGGTAACAAGCATGCCCAATATGTTAAGTGGTGATATGAGGAGACATGAAACAATCAGCAAACACTGGACTGGTTACCAGCAAACTGAACATTTCATCTACTATGAAGTTGGAAACTTCTGCAATTGCACATAGAGCAGATACAGGTTCATGAATGCACAATATTTAGAGCTATTTTACTTTCGCTAATTTAGGTAGTGGAAACGGTAAATGATCTTATTTCAACCTATCTTACCAAAATTATGCAGAATATTCTGCACATATGAATATAGGCCATGTATAAATTGCAAGTCTTTGTAGATAAGATTTAGAGTATATTATGCCACCTACCCGGAATGGCAAGATATTTAACTTCTCCAGACCAGGAGCCATGCTTAGCACCTTCTTCCCATGATCCGGATCATACAAGTCTTTTCCGTTGGATGGCCCATACCATCAGGATCACGGCCTACAATGTGGAAATTAGCACCTGCATTTATCCGTGCCTTTGCCTGCCATTGTACTTCAGTTGGTCAAGCATAATGCACTGGTGAGGGAAACATAGCGACAATTGTAGTCTCGGGATCAAGAATCCCGTCTTCTAGTACCTATGCAAGAATAAAAAATCCTAAAAATCTGAATGGCAAGTGTGATTTGCTTTAGGGTTCAATGACAACATGAATATATTTGTTCCAATCTTAAATTTGCAGTCCATAAAAATTCACCGTAGAAACATAAAGGAGAAAATGATTGGACCTCCCTCAAAATGATCATTATCTTATCTTGAGAAGGCACTCTATTATAATCAAATCATGACTAATACTTCACACGTTCTATATCAGAAGGTCCCAATTAAAAGGTTCTGAAGTTGTTTTATGTTGTTCTGTTTCTTCAGGGTTAATTTTCCAAGCATGTGAGGTTGAAGCTTATGCTACCAAGTAACCATGTTATCCAGTATATAAATTAAACTATGAGAAAGTTTGGCTAAGCCTAAAAAGATAATAGTACCTTTTTGTAAAGTTCGTGAAGAATTTTTTAAAAAGTAGGCTTCTGAACCAAAAATCCCCACCAGATAAATAGACCTTAGCTGATGCTTCCCAATCTTTTCCAAAAAATCAGAAATTTCGAAGTACACAGCTTCGGACAACACCATCGATAAGTACTGCTAGCAAATCATAATAGTTCTACTTTCAAATTTTAATTGTAATATAAATATTTATATTTAGACTTGGGGGACTATTGATATATTGTAAAAATAACCACCCAACAAAAAATTTCATAAAAAGAAGTCCATACATAATATGAATAATCATGCATAGACTTGATGAACTATCGTTACGCCTTGCCACCAAGGCTTCAAGTGAAGACCATGCATGTATACGTGGAGATATAAGTTAGATCCGACAAAGTCAACAAAGACCCAATTGGTCAAAGAAATCAAAGAAGAAACCGATGCTCTCTATCCCGAAGCTCTTCACACCGAAAACCTCCAATCCGAAACTCCCTTTGGCCGAAGACCTCTCTCAAATTCGAATCCCCTTTGACTGAAACCCTTGTTGTCCTTTAGAGGATATGCATGCAATCTTTAAGAATGATGAATATAACATTTGTAATAATGAATGTCAGGATTGCCAGCCTAGTGTATATGGTGGCTGACATGTTGTCAATGCAACTTGGTCCCCAAACTTTGATTTTCTTCATTTTTCGCTCATTTTGTTTAATTCACCCGATCTTTTTTCAAGTTTTACCTACCAAACATAACTAAAGCTATAATTCATCAAATTCGACTAAAAATATTCTAATTTATTGGCCAAAGTAAGTGTATAAAATACACTTATCAGAGGGCACGAAGGTGGCGTCGTTAACTCTTTCAAGTGATCTTGGCATATTTGACAAGTCTCTTTCGGTTGTCGATTTTCCTATGTGTGGCTATTCAGTCGTAAGGAGTTAGGGTGGTGGCAAATGATTAAAAATTGTTATGGAGGATGTTTTGTTTGGCATACCAAAGCTATGCTCCGGGAAGGAATTGGGTAGCATGGTTTGTTATTGTACTTTTTTTATATCGTAAGTGTACACTATCGTAATAAATCATATAATGGACCTTTGAGTCCGAATTATCGTTCCCACCAGAACTAGACTTCAATGTTTAATTTAATATTTCTAACTACTATTTGATAAAAGCAAACAAAGAATTATGAATTGTTTAGATTTTTGATCTAACTACTTTTAACAAATTGAAAGTATCAAAATTGCACACAAAGGTCGAATTAATGTTTCAAATATGAAATAAATATTAGGATACAATAATTTCATCTAATGATCACCTTTAAATCTTAATTTAAGATTCATAACCTAGCTCATGTTTGATCCCCCATGATTTAAAAACTCATTTTTAATTACACATTTTCAAAATAAAATGATTTTATACATAAATCTAAAATTCTTCCATACTTTTTAACCATATATTTTCCAAAAAATCACTATTACAAAATCCATTCCTTCAAAAAATGGGGCTCAAACAAACCTTTAGCGAAGTGTTCGATTGAATTCTATTATTGTATTCAATTTATCCCTTACGAATTCTCATTGGGCCTATTTAACTAATTCAATCACGTATCTTTATGAAAATCAATTTTAGTTAAACGAATTATTAGTTTTAAGAATTCATATAACGGCCACAATAATTAGTATATGTATATCTATACGTTATACTAAATTACCCAATTTTACTATGTGGTCTAAATCTAAAATTCACCTCTCGATTCGTAAAAAATTCACAAAATTATTAAATTAAGGATCAAATAATTCAATGCATTAAATACATAAATAAAATCAACATGTATATGGTAAAAGTACTTGAATTTTGAATAAAAGATATAAATGATCTCAATTCTATTACATTGTTCGCCTTAATAAAAAACTTAGTTACTCAAAATGTATGAAGAAAAATAATTAAAACTATTGAAATACATCACCGGGTTTTGAATTGATATGTGAAGAAGTGGATTAATCTTGTGTCAAGTCCCTCTTCTTGATTCTAAACCCCAACTCTTGATTTGTTGTTTTTCATCATTTTGATCTTCTCTCGAATTCTCAAGTTGTATCTTGTGCTTTTCAATGTGTGAAACCCCACAAAAGTGCCTTCCTTATCGTCTTTATACTATTCCCCATGTTTGTGTCAATGTAGGGTTTTTTGGGTTTCAAAACTCCGATTGTTTCGCGGAATCCTCGACAAGCAAATCCTAGGCGCCTCATGGAAAAATCAACACTACACTTCATTTAGTATTTTTATAATAAATTTCTCACCTGATATCCAGTTGAGGCGATTCAAATTGAATTGTAAAGATAACTTAAAGTACTACAACTTCATCGGCAATAGCATTTTTCCAATTTGAATGTTTACTAGGTCAAAAATGGGTCTCAATCTCGGGCTAAAAATATGGAACATAATCGTGTGATTGAAAATTAATTTGTGAAAATATTTTGATCATATTTCCCTCATTTTGACTTCTAATTGCATCCAATTGACCCCTAGCATTCTCGAGTCTTCCGTGAGGTCCGACATAATTTTTGAGTGTTTACACTTTAGTCCCCTAATTTTGGATCTTGCCTTTTTCGCCATTTTTTCGTTTTTTTCTTTCAATTCCACCTCCATTAATCCAATTTCATCTAATAACACATTATTTACTAAATAAGGTTATAATTTCATTCAAAGAACTACAAAATGTCAATATTTTAGAGTCTGAATGAATGTATATAATGCCCTTATCAGTAGTGCAATGTGGGTGATATGGGGGAAAAGGAATTGGGTGGCTCATGAAAATGTCGCTAGGGAGGTGGAGGTGGGGGTGGTGGATATTGTAGACAATTTGAAGCATGGGATACTAGGCAGATGGCTAAGCATCTGCATCTCATAGTTGGCGAACACCTCTTTTAGCGGGTTGTCTATAGTTGAACACGAATGTCACTATGAGTCGGGAAGAGGGATTCATCAATACTGGGGCAGTCATTAGGGACAGGGGCGGACCCACATGGGGTCATGTGGGGTCAAATGACCCCAAAACCCCAAAAATTTTTTTTTTTTTTTAGGCTAACAAAGCGCCTTAGGAGCTTCAAGCAAATCCTAGGCGCTTCATGGAAAAATCAACACTATACTTCGTTTAGTATTTTTATAATAAATTTCTCACCTGATATCCAGTTGAGGCTATTCAAATTGAATTGTAAAGATAACTCAAAGTACTACAACTTCATTGGCAGTAGCATTTTTCCAATTTGAATGTTTATTAGGTCAAAAATGGGTCTCAATCTCGGGCTAAAAATATGGAACATAATCGTGTGGTTGAAAATTAATTTGTGAAAATATTTTGATCATATTTCCCTCATTTTGACTTCTAATTGCATCCAATTGGCCCCCAGCATTCTCGAGTCTTCCGTGAGGTCCGACATAATTTTTGAGTGTTTACACTTTAGTCCCCTAATTTTGGATCTTGCCTTTTTCGCCATTTTTTCGTTTTTTTCTTTCAATTCCACCTCCATTCATCCAATTTCATCTAATAACACATTATATACTAAATAAGGTTATAATTTCATTCAAAGAACTACAAAATGTCAATATTTTAGAGTCTGAATGAATGTATATAATGCCCTTATCAGTAGTGCAATGTGGGTGATATGGGGGAAAAGGAATTGGGTGGCTCACGAAAATGTCGCTAGGGAGGTGGAGGTGGGGTTGGTGGATATTGTAGACAATTTGAAGCATGGGATACTAGGCAGATGGCTAAGCATCAGCATCTCATAGTTGGCGAACACCTCTTTTAGCGGGTTGTCTATAGTTGAACACGAATGTGACTATGAGTCGGGAAGAGGGATTCATCAATACTGGGGCAGTCATTAGGGATAAACATGGAGTATCGGCTGCGCTACAATCCAATAGGATGGTGGGTCGATTCACGAGAAAAGCTATTATGGTATGGGAAGACTTGCTTTTCACTAACAAGAGTGTCGAATATGACTCCCTTTGGGTGGTACAAAGTCGAAAGTCAAGACTTTCAATTTGCTCCGAATATAGTCATGTTGCCTTTAATTTTTGATGTAGGATGTGCTTCTTGTTCTTGTAGCTTTATTCTTTGCTAGTGGAACAAAGTTTTCCTACTAGACGATAGGTTGATTATATACCTTGTATTTCTTGTGGCGAGGTGATTTAATAGAATGCAATTTGAAATATATGTGGTTAAAAATAAGAGGAAAAAATATATTTTCAGAAGAATGAGTATCAAATATAGTGTAAATGTATTAAGCCTATGTCTGGCTTATGCTTATAAACACTCGAGTCATTTTTCACACATTTCGATTGACTCACAAATATTATTTCTTTATTCATCATTCATTTTATATCTATTTATAAGTCAAACCGTTTATCAACATTTTCAAATCTACTCTTAACGACACACAAGAATTCACTTTTTCTTTATTTTTGTTTGACTCGGTCTACTCTAAGATGCCTAACACGTTTTTGACGCATTAGATTTGAAATGATATAGTGCGAATAAGCAATAGAAACACACGACATCTTTGTTAGTCTTTCTGTATATATATCCAACCTCGAACATAAAATATTGTTAATAACCTTAATCTTACAGCCTGCGTGAGGGTATAAAATACTAACCTTGATTTGGAAAGATTATCATTCTAATACTAGTCAATTTTTGTTTTTTGTTTGAGCACAAATGATTATTTTTTTATTGTTACATAGTAATCAAATAAATTTGGTCACACATTGGAAATTTCCTTTGCCACACGTGAACTTGAATCAATACATACTCAAAATCCACTCAACTAAATTTGTGCCGACTTTTTTTTTTTTTTCAATTATTTCATTAAAATTCATTAGATAACACAAATGAGATAAAAAAAAATAGTTCGATTCGAATCTTCTGCCAAGTCAGTTTAAGTCTCACCATTGATAATCTGATCGTATCTATCCATTTTGATGCTATATTTATAATAAAATAATATGAATATTTAAAAAGGCTTATGTTTGAATCCATAATTGATATCAAATATTCAAAATACTCGCAAATAAATAAAATAAGATAAATTAGGGATTAAATTTCCTTCTTTTTTGGAATTTAATGGAAAAATCAAAATGGGCAGTCAGTGCAAGCCTTTTACGACGTCGTTGCTGTTGATTTCTGAATTTGACCGTAGACTCATTAGCCGCCTTTTGACTTTCACCTGCAGCTGCCTGTAATTGTTTGGAACATTTTTGGGTGGCTGGAATTTTTTAATTGATTAAGGGAAAAAATTATTAAACTGTGACGGACAAGAAAAATGGTGCAAGAAAAAATTCCAAGTCAACAAACAACAACAAGAACATAAAGAAATACTAAAAGCACATTCAAGAACGAAGAATCTTTGCTTTGCATTACTGCTCTCAATTCTTTTCTTTTCTCTAAGCACTTCCCAACAATCCTTTCTTTTGTATGTCCTGAAAGAACACGTTTATAAGAAAAGCTTCTTTTTGTCAAGACGGTGCTTGGTGGACTTATATACTTTTGCTTATAATTGTTTTATGGTTGTTGGGATTGAATATTTACAGTTGTTTCTGATTATTGTCTTTTCTTCAGGGGATTTAGCCAGGGGCAGGTTTTAAAATTTAAGTAAAAAGATCGAAATTCTGGATTTGGGTTTTGGTGAAAAGTTGAGGATTTACTTAGCAGGTGATTGAGAAATTAGTGGGATTTTTTATTTTTTGTGGTTCAGATTGGGTTTCTGTATCTGGGCTGTCTCTTTATAAAGTACTTTTTTGATTAATGGTGTTTCTTGTTGAAAAAAGTGATTATTTTTGTCCCTTTTCTTTGAAAAGTGTAAAGACAACGGATGCTTGTTTGTTTTCTCAAGGGTTCGCATAGTTCAGCTTCTTGGTGAGTCTAACTAATTTCTGTCATATTTGATCATTTTGCATCCAAGTTTGTAGGTGTATTAGTATTTATTAAAAGAAAGAATAGAAGTTCCTTTGCTGACAGTGATAAGTTTCTATTTTCCTTTAAGCTTACTTCAATTTCATTCTTTGTGAGATTTGTGGGTGGAATTTGGGTGATCCAATTGAAATATGCTCAAACAGATACTGAATAAGATTTCTATTAAACATTTGAAATCTGGTAAAGACCATGACTTCTCTTCAAGTTCTTCGACGAAGAGAAGTGAAGCAGGAAGTAAAAAATTAAGTAGTGCAGTAAATGAAGTTATTTCAGCCCCTCATTCTGTATTAAGCAATGGGAATAATCCAGAAGACGAGTTTTTTCAAGATAAGAAGTCGAAAGGAAATGGAAATTCGGTTACTGTATTGCACGAATCCTTGCCAAGTTTTAGAGAAGTTACTAGCTCTGAGAAGCAAAATTTGTTTATTAGAAAGCTGAAGTTTTGTTGTATTCTATATGACTTCACTGATCCTACGAAGAACCTTAGAGAAAAGGAGATCAAGCGGCTGACGTTGTTGGAGCTAGTGGAGTATGTGAGTTCTGCAAATGTCAAGTTCACAGAACTCGAATTTCAAGAAGTCGTTAACATGGCATCTATGAATATATTTAGGGAATTCACTCCTCAGCCGAGGGAGAGCAATATTTTAGATGGCCTTGAATTGGAAGAGGATGAGCCTGCAATGGATCCTGGATGGCCTCATTTGCAAATTATCTATGAAATTCTGCTATTGATGGTAGTTTCACCCAAAACAGATGTAAATGTTGCTAAAGGATACATTGATAAATCCTTTGTTCTCAAGTTGCTTGATCTTTTCGACTCTGAAGATCCTAGAGAAAGGGAATACTTAAAAACTATACTACACCGCATTTACGGGAAGTTTATGGTTCTCCGGCCCTTCATCAGGATCGCTATAAACAATATATTCTATTCGTTTATTTTCGAGACTGAAAAGCATAATGGCATTGCTGAACTTTTGGAAATTCTCGGGAGCATAATTAATGGATTTTCTTTGCCACTAAAAGAAGAACATAAACTCTTTCTTCAGCGAACACTAATTCCCCTTCACAAACCGAAATGTTTGGCGATGTACCACCTACAGTTATGTTACTGTATAGCTCAGTTTTTAGAGAAAGACTGTAAGCTTGCTGATATGGTTATGAGGGGACTGTTGAAGTACTGGCCAGTTACTAATAGCTCAAAGGAAGTCTTGTTCCTTAATGAGCTGGAGGAAGTTTTAGAAACAACGAAGCCACCAGAATTCAAACGCTTTATGGTGCCTTTGTTTCATCAAATTTCTCGTTGCTTGAATAGTTTGCACTCTCAGGTATTATAAATCTGTTTTTACCCTTCTTTTTAGTTCACAATTTTCGCCGATTTCTTGCAAATATAATTATATAATTCCGTACAAGACTTTCATCAGATGATTTCATATGCTCATTCTAATTATATCACAATTCACCATTTTATTTAAGAAATATGCATTGTAGCTTAGAAAATGGCCTGACTTCTATTTTATTTATTAGAATGGTTGTAGAATATTGTGGACTAATTCTACTTATAACCTTAAGTATCTTTTGCAGCTTCACTTTTCTCTTAGCCAGCGACCTTCACATTCCCTCCTTGAATATGATCATATTATCTTTAGAACTGTATTCCAGATGTTCTGTCTGGATTAAGGTTGATCGTATTCAAAGACCTTCACATTCCCTCCTCGAATATGATCATATTGCTTATTTTTAGAACTGTACTCCAGCTTAGTCTTTCTGGATTAAGGTCTATCGAATTCGGGGTAAGAAAACAACTCTGCTGCTTTAATTGATTGAATTTCTTGCAAGGTAGTACATTACTAAGGACATGTTCCAAACAAGCCCAAAAGCAGTTTCTTAGTCTAAAAGTCACTTTTAATTTTTCAAGAGCCATGCCAAACGGGCCCTAATTATTATGCATGTATTTTCTTATATTCAAATTCTTGCAAGTGTTTACTCATATTCTATACATCTCTAGAAACATTCATTCGTAATTTGCATTTTTACAAAAAATAAATAAATTTTGGATCATTATATCCACAAGATGAATATTTTCAGAAATTTGCATTTCTGATTCCCTTTCAGTAGAGATGAAGTCTTCTTTCCCATAGATAATAGAAATGGCATTTCAAATTAGAACTTCACTATCTGGTTGGAATATTATTTCCACGTCCCTTTCTTGCTTAAAGATCATACAGCTCTAATCTTACTATGTGGAAATGGTTTGTTGTGCAAACTTGGTGTAGGAAATGTGTTGGCCTTATTTTTTTCCAGGAGGTGGAAATATTCGTAATTGAATGATCCATTGTTGTTTCAAGTATTTTACCACCATATTTTGACTATCTTTCACAATCTGCATCCTGCTTTTGAGTTTTAAACTTATATCTAATTTTCACCTGAATGAGCTTGACATGGTTTGGGAGAGTAAGATAGTCCTTAACTTCCACATCAAACATATTGATTTATTTTACAAGTTTGTCATCAAGTTAAGCCATGTTAGACTCGGGGATGTGGAAAGCAGTGTTCTTGACAGATTCTTTGATGAATGTAGGCAGAATGGGAGAGAGGGAGCATGAAGTACGGATACTGACATAACATCACAAAACTGATATGTGAAGTAGGACACGGGCATGGCATGCCAGTTAAAATTCTTAGCTATTATAGATTTATCTATTTTAACTTTATTTTTATGCATTATTATTCAATAAAATTAATCCTGAGTTTTTGATTTTAAACTTTGCACGTGAAATCTTCTGAACTAGAGGAGTGACCATTTGTTGCATCAGTGTACACCTTTTGGATGTAACTACTTTTACTAGTGCCAACAAAAGGAAAACACATAGTTGACATAAAACAAATTGGGCATGAAATTCTTAGAATTTTCTCACACATGTTCGAGGCTTGTGAAGGAATTGTCCCTCACGTGTTGGAAATTTATAGAAAGAAAACCTAAAATTAAGACACACCATAAGAAAATTCTGACACGTCTGAGAGTGTTCGAAGTCCGACAATCCACCGTAGTAAAGGTGTTGGTGCTTCACAGGAAGGCATGTAGAGATTCTATAAATGTGTTGGTTAGACGACAACGTTCTCTAGGAGTACGCCCCCAGAAAATAATCAGTTCCATGCATCAAATCACACTAATGCTGCGAGACTGCGCAATAAAGTATGGAGCTAGAAATTGGTTTTGCCAGTTCTAACATACAAAGTTTGTCATTGATGTTGGAAAGAGTCTGGTATGGCAAAGAGTATGAGCGGCATCGTTCTGACGGCTCCCTTTTTGGACGGCTAGAGCTCGTATTTATACTGTAATGGCTTTCGAGGTATCATCCTTTCTTAACATCTTTCCTTAAAAAGAGGGAGAGAGCTTCCAACCTGACAAGATACGAGGATGAAATCCATAGTTTGATAAATGTTGATTATTTGTTTATTTCATTAGTGTTTTATGATTAAGATAAAGTCTCAGTTACATAGAAAAATGGGATTTCTTGCACTATTTGATATCTCAGTATGCTTAACACGGTTAAATCACACTCAAGAATACCTTTTTGAATTGTGCCTTTGTGTAACCTTGAATTGATTCAAGAGACTGATGCCTGTATTCACTTCAGGTGGCGGAGAGGGCTTTGCTCTTGTGGAACAATGATCGCATCGAGAATCTAATCAGACAAAACCGTGGGATTATACTGCCTATAATCTTCCCTGCTCTGGAGAGAAATTATAGGCACCATTGGAATCAGGCTGTGCATGGTTTGACGCTGACTATTCGCACATTTTTCTATGATCTCGACCCTGATCTATTTAAGGTGTGCTTGCTAAAGTTGCGGGAAGCTGAATCAAAGGAAGATGTGATCAAAGAAAAGCGGGAAGCCACATGGAAACACATTGAAAAACTTGCTGCGGAAAGGGCTGCAAAGTGATGAAGATGTGGTTGCTCCTCGAGCAGGACTTCTGCTGCATCAGCTTAGAGAGAAATGGTACTTCGGGAAGGCATCACATATTTGGTAAGGCATATTAGACAATATTAAAGAAGAAAAAAGAAGTTAAAATTTTGTTGATTGTATTCTTGTGTGCGTAAATGTAATTATAGGATGTGAGAACTTAATCTACTCTAAAATCATATTTTATCGTATTCAGTGGACAAAATATTTGAGTTTAAATCTTTCATTGTCTATTTATGAAAATTATGTACACGCCTTATAGAAAGAAGAATCCGGTAGTCACGTATGGGATATGCAAGTATGCAAGTTTTGTTGTTTAAAAGTTAAAACTCCTTGACGCCACAATTTGCGTCGCACTTCATCTCACAGAAAGTATAGCCTTTGCTGCCTCGGAACGCTCCTCGTGGCAGGTGTTGTAGCATTCCCTGAATTCTTCTTTGGTGGCTTCCGGCGTTCATTGTTCCGGAGTACAGAAGGCACCCATGAACAGTACAGAAACAAGTTGTTTGGTCATTTTAATTTTTTTTTTTAATAGAAGAGAATAATAAAGAACGAAAATAAGGTAAAATAAAATAATCTCATCAACGGTAACTTCGGGGACATAATGTTTTCAATCCTCCAACTATGGTGACAAATAGATTCAATTATCAACAAGGAGATTATACATGCAGCCGTAGGGAGTCCCAACACAAGCTACATTACATAACAGGGTTCGGGAATGAAGTTATTTAAAGTTGCTTTTCAAAGTACATATTTCACAATTCACATTCAAAAGTCACAATCTTCAAGATCAGCCTCCAGAGTTTTCCTCGAAGCAATCCCCATTGAAGAAATTTTTTCCTATCTACCATGAATTGCAACATTGTACACCACGAGTCGTCTTTTTTGCAATTTGTCAAATGTATCTTATCATGAGATATTTAGTACAGCTTGATCTAGCAAGTTACTTTTTTATGCCTTTTTTCGAGTATCAGATACTGATGTATTTTTGTATTTCTCATATGTTTATGAAATCAAATTTATGTATATATCATTTGAATATTGTATGTATTACACTAGTGTGTTAAGTACCACGTTAAATCATCCTTATTTCCATACTTTGTCATATGTATCTTTCATGAGATGTATAGCAGATGTGTTACATTTTATAGGCACGTGATCTAACACTATAGTGTTCTATGCATTATTGACACTACTACGTTATAGTTTTGTATTGTACATTTCTATCAAACGTATGCATATTCTTTGAAACTATGACTTCTGGTATGAACTTAAATCAACCCGTAAATTCACATTAACATTTTCACACAATCACGTATGTAATTTGTATTTTTATTATTATTATTTTGGCAGCATGACCACTTCAAAGAATCAACATATGCTTGTTGTTTAATGTTGTGCTTGCCAAAATTTATAGGGTTAGAATTTATGTCTTGAAAGCAAGTCTATATGGATTATAGATCAGAGGCTGTCTGAGAGCACTTAATTCAACCCAAAAAATTGTTTTGTGTACCGTTGAAAATGAAGACAGGCAGCCATTGTTGACTTATTGTGTCACATGTGGGGCCCAGCTTTAGTAGTTAACGGTAGGAAAA